TTTTCCCCCCCCCCCCCCCGCGGAATTTCAGCTCCGACCTCGTCAACAATCATCTGCAACCTCGACTTCCCATCGGAACGCCCATCATTTACGCTTAACAACTTGTTGCGAACACCTCGGACACCAAGCCCGAGTAGAGCCCATAACGCGATCCTGTCCCCGAGGATGCGCTAGCCTAAAGTAAAGTCCCCCGCCACTCGCTCACACCGATGCCGTTACCTCAATCTTTTGGTTACCACAATCTCGACTCGGCTAATCGGTCGCACGACCCGCTCGCTCTTTCAGACTTGGCGCAGATCCGCGCGCTAGTGGAGTCGACCGGGGCGATAAACGGGGGCTCGACCTGCCCTACCTGCAAGATGCCCTTCGACAAGGGCAAGAAGCGACGACTTATCGACTCCTGCGGCCACGAGAGATGCTACGCCTGCCTCTTCCGTAGCGAGGCCTGTCCGTTGTGCGCACGCGAGGCACCCCGACACCTCGAGGACGAGGACGAGCCCGATGAGCCCAGGCAGGGCTACTACCGGGAGCACGGATACTTCAACGCGAGCCGATGCATCGACTGGCTCGAGAGCTCCTCGCTCTGCGGCAGCCCCAGGCCGAGGCTCAAGCTAGCCGGCAGGACGAGAGCGACGAACCAACGGTCACAGGTACAACGTCAACTAATCGTCTGCACCTTACGAGGGCAATGGCGCTCTCTCCTCTTGGCCGCTCCCCTTGCCGGCTCCCTCGCCCTTTATAAGAATGACCCTGGCGATCTATATACCCTGGCGGCAAATTATTTAGATTGGTGTTTTTGTTGATTGGTCTTGGACGATGGAGCGCAGCTCCGCGCGCTTCTCTTTCTCATAAATTCGTTCTCACCGTCCTGTCGAAGGATCTATTTTCTAAATTTCTCCCTTTTCGGATACCTAGGCTTTTGCATGCACGCCTCTTTGGGACTGGGGACTCCCGTTAAACGAACATCATCATTATTAGTTTGAATTTTTCTCCATCTTCTTCTTCTTCTCCATCTTCTTCTTCTCCATCTTCTTCTTCTCCATCTTCTTCTCCATCTTCTTCTTCTTCTTCTTCTTCTTCTTCTTCTTCTTTAATGATAAAGCAAACTGGTTCGCGTGCTTGAACGGTAGGCTAACCGTGATTGCGTATCCGGTTACGTAATTCATATAAATAATCCTGATCGTAGTAAATTTAAAAAGTTTTTCAAACCCAACTCTTACTCGTTTCGTCTATTTTTCATGGCTTTTGCTTTCTTCGAGTTATAAATAATTTACCTTAATCGGTCACTTCTCGTATGCTTGCGTATTTAATTGTAAAGCTTATTAAAAGCTTCGAACGTTAGATTAAAATTCACGACGATATTTAAAATGGAAATTTAAAACTAAATAGACCGTAAATCAGGAGATATTGACGATTAAAATATGTTAATTGGTAGGCTCAAATCATTATCGATCTACCGTTAAGTCCAAAATTTTATAATATTCGATAAATAAAGATATCGTCGGAATAAATGATAATCTATATTTGGCACATTATCCACATTAGCTAAAGAAATCTTTTCTTCCTTATTTCCTACTTTGTGCAACGTTCTCGTGCTTTCTTTCGCGCTCCTAATAACTTTAGAACATTATAATATAATCAATTTATGGTTTATATTTAAAGCCGCAAACATTGGATGTTACATATAAAAATAAGTTATATTAGGGAGCGGTGCATTGCAAGAATTAATAAAATATTATTATCAATAATCTTATCGTCGTAACCTTATACGTGACTGTGTATATCAAATGCTTAACATTTTTTCAAGGATTTACTCGACGACGAAAAATGTCTGAAAACCAAACCACCCGCCTTACCCGAATCCGCTGGCCGACAAAAGTCCCAAGGAATGGCACAAAGTAAGTTTTAAGCGCAATAATGTCCCAACCAAAATGAAGATTAGCTCGACAAAATCATTCGAATGCTTTAATATGAAACTTCCAGGTTGCCCGACCCCACCAGCCCAACGAAAGAAATTCTTTCTAAATGCGAAAGCACTGAAGAGTCCCTTTGCTTCGAGCCGCCAATCGAAACGCGATGTCCAATCAACGGATCAACATCTGTCGGACAATCCTTCAGCCCTCTCCGGTGAGTTTAAGTATAAACATTTAATTCCATTCCCACCGCCGGTTTTTTTTTTTTTTTTTTTTTTTTTTTTTTTTTTTTGAAATTTATTACAATAATTCGTCAAGTTCTATAGTTAAACTAGTTTTATGGAATATATAAAATACTTGCTTTTCGATTTTATAAATTTTTCTCTATTGTAAGATCGACTAATTCGACTGATTACTCACTATATAACAATTACCTTGGAGGGATATAAAAAAAGGCGGAAAAATTACATAATATCGTCGCGATAATAAGCGTATGGTGTGCAATTCTAAATTTTAGATAATTAATTCAGTGAGATAAATTTGCCGATATTATCACACTGTGCTACAATTTATTTAAAGCTAATGACGTATTTGTAGATTGGAAAACTTTGCAGAAAAAAGAAAATAATTTTCAATATTTTGATTGCCGAGCTTTTCAATGAGTATTTAATGAAATGAAACGAATAAAAGTAAGAGAATAACGTATGGACTGAGACCGTTATTCTCTTAATTTGTAACAATTGATGATGGCCAATGACATATTATGTCGCACAAAGTATCGGAAATATATAGTTGTCTGATGTTAATTTTAGGCCACGCTACACTCTTTTTTAAAGTAATAATAATTTTAATTAGAATACACGCGTATTTTGTATCTCGTCGAATAAATATTGAAAAGAGGGAATTTCACATATTGAAAACCAATTGGAAAGTCAAGCCATCGAGGCAAAATTGATAAACACGTGTAAAACTATTGGGATTAATGCGCGCGATTATCTCGTTGGTCCGTGAGCCGCGCGCGAGCATCTTAAATGATTATAAGAATTTTTGCTTAATTGTGCTGGCTTTATAGAAAAGAGATTATAAAAATGGTAAAGACGCGAAAAAGCTGTGAACTACGGTAAAGTGGCCTTTAGCGATATAAGTGTACGGCTACCATTGGATTTATCAGGGCGGAGAAGAGCGCGCATAAAGTTCTCTCGCGGCCGTAAGCAAATCCATTCGCGCGACAATAATAACTAAAAGCTTTTGCGGAAACATAAAGGCGAGGTAAAGCCGTGGTAAAGCCGTGGTAAAGCAGTGGTAAAGCAGTGGTAAAGTCGCCGTCTACGGGCTCAACGAATTTTTACAAGCCGATCGAGCCCGCACACGCTATGATTATATGGCAAAGCACGACCTTATAAAGTTTCCCCTTCGCACGGCCGTTGAAAAATGCGCAAAATGTAAAGTGAATCCTGTTTTACGGGGTTACGCAGCCTGGATGACTGCCTCCTGGGAAGGAAAGTCACATTGGCCAGGCCTCGTGCTCGGCAAGATCCGATCGCTCTGGAGCAGTAGCCAAGGATCAGCGAACGACGGCCTGAATCAGCTTATCGACGCATCGAATAAAATCTCAGGCAGGAACACGTTTTCTCCTTCGTGTGTTGCGTGCGTGTGCCTATCCGTGACTCTGTCTGCTCAACTGCCCGTCTGCGCCTTGCCTGACAGTGTCTCTGACTATGGGCGGGCGTGCGCGCGCTCTCTCTCTCTCTCTCTCTCTCTCTCTCTCTCGTGTTCAGGCGCCCCATACGCACTGAAAGAGGAGCTCGCGCACGTACTGGACGAGGAAGTTTTTTATGCTTTCTTCCTTGTTTTCTCATGCGCTTTCCGTAATCGAGGCTGTCGCGACAAATTTAGCCTCTCCCGCCGACGATTATCGTCGCGCGACTTTACTTACTCCCGATAGAAGCATGAGCGTGCCGAGTATGCACGGCGCGCGGCTACTTTTTCAATGGTATTGACGCTTTCAGTGCTGCACGGATTGGTCCATCAGCGCTTGCCCGGATTCATCCGTAGAGATTGGATCTCACGAATGAGTATTGAACTTATTTTTGCTTGCCAGAGTTCCGTTTGTCCATCATCGTTCGTTTTCTTGTTTTTGTTTTTGTTTTTGTTTTTGTTTTTGTTTTGCTTTTTGTTTTTGTTTTGCTTTTTGTTTGTCGTTGTCGTTGTCGTCGTCGTCGTCGTTGTCGTTGTCGTTGTGGTCGTCGTCATTGTTGTTGTATTGTTGTATACATTTTTTTTCTTAGCTTTATATCCCCTAATTGAGTTAACCATTAGCTTGGATATTAAACCCGATAATAATTTTGCTGCTTAATACTTTGGATTTTCAATTTTCCTCATGTGACAGCCACCCATTCCATTAAAGACTCCTCGCTCCTTATTCCCCTACCTAACGCTTTATTTAATTATCACATTAATTATGCTTTTGTTTCATGCTTTCTGTGCCGACTATTTGTATATATCAATCATAATAATGAGTGGGTTAGGTAGGCCAGACAGAAATGAAAGTTCCGTTGGCCACAAATCATAAAAGGCTACCTGACTTTTATTTCCATATCCTAAGATTTACAGTTTCCATGAGATTCTCCGACTTTTTATTGCTCGAGATTGGGCAAGACAAGGGGCCGTAAAGCTTATGAAATAATCTTTGAAGTATTAATCTAGTCACTTTTTGTAAAATCGAGCTCAAGCATCTCTCGGACCGAAAATCCCACTCTTGGGCTCGTGAATACAAATTAGCGCGATTTGTCACTCGCAGAAACATCACCTTCCGTTATTTCAATGTCTACCCACTCACGAGTTCTCTCAATATGCGTGCACTTGTTACTGATGAAACGAAACGGAGCAATTATCTCGATTAATCTTGGATTTCAATTTTTCACCTTACAGAGGATGAGGGCGTAAGGATAAAGCAGCTGAGCGAGACGAGACTTCCGCCGAGGAGCGGCCGAAAATCCGGTAACGCTGATCTCTACGTACGTTTGGGTTTGCTCTTGGGTCAGCAGCCACGTGGAGTTCAAGCGCTCGACTCTCAGCAGCAGCAGCAACAACAACAGCAGCAGCAACAACAGCAGCAACAACAACAACAGCAACAGCAACAGCAACAGCAGCAATACCACCATCATCACCATCACCACCATCACCACCAGCAACAACAGCAGCAGCAGCATCAGCAGCAGCAGCCACATCATCAACAACAACAACAGCATCAGCATCAGCATCAGCAGCAACAACAACAACAACAACAACAACAACAACAACAACAACAACAACAGCAGCAGCAGCAGCAGCAACAACTCCAGCAACAACAGAAGCTGGTGGTAACCCAACACTCGAGGCCAACCTCGGCCCAACATCAGCACCAAGACGCCTCGACAGTCTCCATAAGCAGTCTCACGAGTCTTGAGGCCCGCACCCACGCCTCCACCAATACGAGTCCCGTGTCCACCCTCACCGGCACCTCCAGCGAGGCCGAAGTCGCACCGGCCGCCCTCCGTATCCCCCTCAAATTCAAAGGTAAGCAACTTTTAGATTAATAAGAGCAACGGCTGATTTGCCAAGATAAATTGATTTGTTGTATTACCCAAGATATCGATTTACGACGCATCTCATTGCTCTTGTGAACGTTATTATTTTTTTCTTTAGTGAGTGTGTCGAATTCGAAAGCGGGCCGTGTCAAGTCAAGTGTCGATAAATATTGCCAAAATGTAATTCAGAGATACTAATCCATTTATCGCTCAGCGAAATTTTCGTTTTTACATTTTTATCGTGGAAGTTCCACAATATAGTACAATATTTTTCATTCTTATATTTTGCCTCGATCTCGGCTCGGATTAACCAGTGTTCATTAAGCGGAAAATGAAAGATTCGTAATGATACATTTTATCGAATAGTTATTTCGTATCATCGTAATCAATCAAAATTTCATTAACGATATTAGAAGGAAAAAAAAACGCATATCTTGAGCCGACATTCAACTTCATGTTGAATATTCGACCATAGATTCCTATAATTTTTCATTCTCATGGTTAATGATGAGCAGTTTTTACTTAAAATATACTTACATTATCGAAAATTATGACAAGGGCCACTTTGACAGTGTTATATGGTTATTGAGAATTATAAAGAAATTTTCCATAATAGAATATGATCCACTTAAATGTAAAAATCATAAAATCTCGAGTAAGAGCCAATTTTTATTTTTATTTTTATTTTTATACAAGTTAATTATTCTCATTTTTATTTATAACATAATATTTTATAAAAAAGATATAAAATTGTAGTTTAAAAAACAAAACTTTGTATATTGATAATTTGTGGATATAAGCGCACGAACTTTTTAACAGCTCTATTGTGGAATATTTAGGGAAAAGTAGATAAGCCCATAATATATTTTAATTAAATTTGAGACAATAAACGGACGTTTTCTACTATCCCGCGACCCCCCCCCCTCCTCCTCCTCCTCCTCCTCCTCCTCCTGCAAAACTCTAAGACGTAATAATTCCATTTTATTTTTAACGATAAGATCTTTTAAAACAATGTAATGAGATATAACAGTGATACGTTGTTAGGTCTCGATAAATCCTCAAATTCTATGACGAATGAAAAGGCAATTGGGACGATTAATTAGGAGTGTATGATAATAGTCGTAATATGAGTAATGCTGAGATAACGGGGCACGACAACATTGTCGTATACTTCGGCGTTGAGGATCGCCAAGCCGCGGCAAAGTACACGCGAGAGTAGAGAAAAAATTCGGGAGGGTAAAGGGCGGCTTTACGTTGCGCTTTAAACTGTCAGGAGCGTAAAAAGAAAAAGTGGAGTGACGTATCCAATTGTGTGCGAGCAGGTAAATGTAAGGGCAAGAAGTCGAGGGACTGCGACAGTGCGGGCAGTCTCGCCTCGATCTCGACCTCCGCATCGACCTCCATGTCCATGTCGATGTCCGTCTCGGTCTCCGGGTTATCGAACGGCAGCTCCAGTCCCTTGGCCTCCAGAAGACATTCCGTCACGACCTCGCAGCCCGGCCAGATCGATGAGAACCCTTTCAAGAATCGACGGGGCTGTGCGAGACGATCGGCCCGCACCTCCAATTCCAAGTGCACCGCCGCCGCCGCTGCCGTCGCCGATGCCAAACGTGAGTAAACGTTGCTTATCTCTGTGCGTCGATTGTCATTGTCGACCATCCTGGCGTAGAGCCCCGGTACTATCGGGTACTATTGTGGGATTTCGGTGTGGATATAAGGAGGAGGAGGAGGAGGAGGAGGAAGAGGAGGAGGAGGGGATAGCAACGCCGAAAATCGGCAAACCCTCGTTTCATCCGACGATGTCAATGAGCCGTCAATATCGCAAAATTAAATAGCTCTATGCTGGACCAGATCAAGGTTTGCGTCAATTCGCTGTTCCGTGTTGCTCGTTTATTAATTTTTGCAATATCGGCGCGACACTCTCAAGCATCTCCGTATCTCTCAATGAGGGCAATTTAATTAGTGCGCAAAATGGATGCACTCGCTCGGGAAATGGGGCAACAAGAAGCGCAACAAAAAGAAAATGAAGTACGGCAGAAGGGATGGGTTGGGGGGAGTGGTTGGGGGGGGGGGGGGAACCGAAAAACGA